TGTCACGACTTTTTACCCGTTCGGGCGCAAAGCCGGATCAAAAGGGAGTTGCGGGAGAGTAGGATGTCAGGCCTCTCCGACGGATCTCTCGCACGAACCGAATTTCTAACGCGAACGTGAGTGTTGGGCGCCAGACGCGGTATCCCGCGTCCACTAACGCGAAATTTATCACAAATTATCGAAACGTTTATCGTAATTAAACGGCGTGCGAGAAATCGACCAGCTCGGCGTATTACTCAGGGACGAAGGTGATATAGGGCAGCGCGAATTGTGACGGGCGACACAGAAATTACGAACTCAAACAATTAATAACAAAAGAGATTAACATTTATTGCAAAGAAAAAAAACAATTAGCTCACGAGATTGCTCTAATAAATTAAAGAACCGTTGATTCATCTCTCACAAAAGCGAAATCATATAGACGTGAATAATCGTGAGCGTGGAAGAATAAATCAAAAATCGCTACAACCAGGAAAATAATAACTCCGAAAACAAGTCAAAATTTTACGCGATCTCAGACGCCAAGTTTACTCTAGAAAGTACGCAGGGTCGCGATTGTTCAGAATGCTGTCGCCAGGAGAGAGTATCCCCGACATACGAGGCGCAATATAACACAACGACGGGCCAATAATCAAGCCCGAACGCGACAGATAACGCGAAATATTTAGGTTTTATCGCGCCGAGGAAATCATCAGCGCGAGAAGGATATCGTACTCAATCTAACGAATTTTTACGGGACATACGCCCTACGCAAAAGAGTACTTAATTCAACGCGAAAGAAAGAGTATCCTCCGAGGAGAGTAGCGCTAAACCAGCGCGAGACTACACAACGCAATAATGTCTTGACGGACTTACAGACTAACGCGAAATAAACTAAATTTAACGCAAGAGATGACGAACTTACATACTAACGCCATGTACAACTAAATCTACGCAGGGGAAAATATCTACACGAGGAAAACGCGAATTTGACCGCAAGCACACGAGATTACGGAAACGGCGTAACGCAAAAGAATTATTCTCGACGAATAAACTACGATCACGAGAGTTGCGCGGGACGCACCGCCGGGTAATACGCGATCGCGACCACAGATACCGTAAGAATGTTCGCAAATTACCGAATCGAGATATCTATCGCGATCTCCAGGACCTTCACGCGATGAGTACTATTCACTGGCCACGAGACCATCCCAAAGCCCTTCGCTTTCGCTCTCGATCGCAGATGTAAAATTGTGAGATCTCAATTACGCGAGTACTTTAGGCGAGAGCGTGGCCCGGAGGGCGGTGTCGTGGCTTACATTACTACCGTCTATTACGAGGCAACCTCACCGGTAAGATGCTTCCTCGGTCGGGGTTGTCCTCTCCGCCGTCACCAAAAACCGTCGCGAGAGAATCAGGCACCAAGTGCGCAGCAAGAGTCGGTCGGGAAGCGCTCAAGAAAGCCGTGCGTGTCGTCCCGAGGGTGGCTCAAGAATGATCGCGGAAGTGCGCTCGATAGAGGCGTCGATCTAACGCCCCTAGCGGGACATGCGCGACCCTTCCGCGCGATAAGCGGACCAATTGACGATGAGCTCGCAAGCTCGTGTGGGAGCCGCTAGCAGGGTTATCGACCGTGGATTCGGCGGGGCGTTCGAACGTGCCCTTCGCGCTCGCGGGGTCCTTCCAGGTTTCCCCGTTGTAGTAGGCAAGGCGATGACTCCCGCGGTGTCCTCTGGCTCGACTCGGGGGCGGTGGCCATCCATCCCCAGAGTCCGTCTGGCCTCGGAGGACTGCAGACAGGCCCGGCGCCGGGCCCCTGCGATGCACAGGTTCGCCTGCCGTTGCTGGCGCGCAGCGCGCGCGTCTCACGTCGTCCCTCGCTTAGTAGCGGTCCCCGTAACTCGGGCTCCTCGCCCTCGACATCTCGCTTTCGGTCCTTGTGATTCCGTTTATCATCCGGCTCTCCTGGTACTCCTCGTCATCTTCAGTGTGGCGTTGGAACTCCAACTCGACGGGGTGAGGCGCCACGCAATATCGCAAGAAAAAAAAAAAACAATAATGAATATTTGAATCGCAACTTTAATACGCCCCTGGAGATCGAAGGTTGATTCGTGAGCCGTCCTCGGGCGCGCAATCCGCGCCTTGTGACGGCGGCGGAGCGCTGCCACGCCGCGGCGAAACCGCAACGTCACAGCACATAATGCATCATTTATCCTTGTTATTCATCGAGTGTTAATAAATAAGGATAAATGATGCATTATGCGCATCATGCGTAAAACGGAAAATACCCTAAGGGCCCGGACACACACTTCTGCACAACGCATAATACGTAAGCATAAGAAAATTGATTGGTCCATACACATGTGCATAAGGAAATAGACCAATCAATTTTCTTATGCTTACGCATTATGCGTTGTGCAGAAGTGTGTGCTCCCCGCTTAAGGGTCTGTCTACAATCAGTCGTATATCGGAGGGTATTTAACAGTGTGACATTGAAATGTTAAATTTATGTTATGCAGAACAAGAATGTTGATAAATAAATATTTAGACGACATTTTTATTTATTATATAAAGAGTTATTATATAAATATAAAATGCATAGTAGTGCCTCTGATTTCTTTTAGAAAAGTTTAGGATAATCTAAGATTATCACACAAACGTATCGTTGTGAAAGAACTTATATACCAACATGTTTCTAGAGTTTGAATATAAACAGAAGAAAATAGTTTACTGTACCAATGGCTATGAGAAAAAGGAGCGGCTCCGGTGCCAAACGTCAACACAAATGCAAGCTAGTACCGATCTATGAGAGTTTCTTTAAAGACGAAGACCTGACGCTAGCTCATCCAAATTTCTGGAATGAATTGTTCCTTATTAAACCTATGGTACGTATCCTGGGACTGTTTTTGCCATTTTCCGACTTATCGAAGATAAATATTTATTTCATGCAATATATATTGTAGGTACCTCACATCGAAAATGAAATTCTACATATGACATCGGAACAGCTAAATGCCAGCAAAGAAAATTTGAACGCATTGGTGTGCCACTGTGTTGACACATTAGTCGATGAACATCCATTTAGAATAGTATACGCGTTGCAAACTTTAGCAGCCGTCATCCAATCCATGTACAAGAAAGCCAACCAGGGAGACTATGGATTTAATTTAATAGATATTCTAGTAACCTCCATCGCCGAATAATACCCTGGGCCCAAACGCGATAGCTCCTAGTGCTTCGCCACCCAACGTGATGGCTCAGCCGTTTAATCTACTAGCAACTTTCCTGCAGTACTGGTGAGAATATAATATAAATTATTACAAAATTATTGATAATTCGCTGCTTAACAATTGTGAGATATCTGCATTTGCATTACAGTTCGATAGTTATGCAAGTAATTCGAACGGAGGCTATAATGAGTAATGTGAAGCTGTGCTTCTTGATACTAAGCTGCATTGCGGAGGACCAATATGCAAACAGTTTAATGCACGACGCGAATCTGGCATTTAGAGTTCAGCTACATAGAGTACCTATGCATTATAGAAAGTTGCAGGATAAGGCAGCGCCGGCTCAACCGCTTGCAGCTATCTTTTCAATATATGTTTCAGGAGTTCGTGTTTCTTATCTCTCTCAAAATATAATAGAAATCAAATAAGGACAGAGTTCCACTAGTGTCGAAGCATTTGCAGCTTACAGCTTATAAAATATTGCTTATAAAATGTAAATGATTGTCTAAATTTCGAGACGGAGTTATAATAAATTAAAGAACGTTTTAAATGCTCGTTTTTCATCATGTTACTTAAAATGATTGTTATCTATATTGTTTCGTTATAGATTTGCTTGTCGAGTTCGTGAGATCATATATAATGAAGAAATTTCCGCTTGAGTTATATCATCAATGTATCATCAATGTATCGGCGTAGTTATTTTTTTATTTTTTAATGCAATAGGATTTTTTTTACTATGGCATGATTGAGAATTAGAGGTTGCAATGTAATCATAGAGAAATGGATATGTTTCCATTATCTTTCGTACTTATAGCTTAATAATCTTTTTTAATTTGTTTACAATCAAAATGTGCTCATTTATCAGACATTAGATGGAGATGTACTTATATGGAAGACTTAGGTTAGTGCGGAATATTTCTACAAGGAGATAGTGCTAGCACTCCTGGTTTAGACCAGTGGGTGCTGGAACTGCCCCTTTTAGGAATAGAGTCCGCACTAACCTATAAATCTTCCAGAGGAAACATGAATACATCTCCTTTTGAGGTCCACTAGACAAGCATGCTCGTAAAATGATTCAGAAAAGAGACTATTGAACTATAAATATAAGTCCGACAGATAAACGCGTTATGATAAAGTAAAGGATAGTATAAGTTATATATTATAAGTTAATTATAAGTATCAATATTATTTGTCATACAACTCTGAAATTTGAATCACTTGTCAGTGCTTAAAATGTCTTATGTTCATTAAACCGCTAGTAAAATTTTTTTTTACGAACGCAATTTGATTGTCTTTTTACAAAGTTCTGATCGAAAATCAGAGATTGTACACAATTGACTAGTTTTACATAATTATTTTCTATAGAGAATTGGCTGGTGGACTCCACAACAAAAATTCATGTTTGATGCTTATAATAATACATATATACATATGTACAAGTACAGCCTATATTTAATTGTATATACAACAACAGTAGATCTATTTAAATTGAAGAATGTGGAAGCCACCAGCCAATATGAAGTTTAGATTGAAGTATAGATATATCGCATATATTCCATAGAATATACCAAAGATTTTATATGTGAGGAATCCTTGAATGATCCTTGACCGGATCAATATGTATTGTGATAAAAAGCTGTTTATTAACAAAAAATGTTTATTAACCAAATGTAAAAATATATTAATATAATATATATAGAAAAATATAATATATTTTTTTTACATGTTTTGAGTGCAAAATATATCTAATAAAATGATTATTCAATATATATTTATATTTGTCCCTTTCCTACGCAAAAATATGTATGTACTTAATGACTTTTTCTGTTTAGATTTTCCTAATCAACCAAATCTTAAAGTATTATATATGAAATAGAGGTAGAAAAAACTGAGAAATATAATAAAATTCAAAAATTGCTAATAATAAAGGAGTTACCGATTTCTGTTTAAAAAAATCTGTGTGATTGCTCTGATTTCCGCAGTTTTTTTATGGATAGAGTATATTAAAGGTAAGTTGGTATTGAATTTGGCGAGAATCGGTGAAAGGGTTTCCGATTTTTGCCTTACCGATTTCTGCTTGAAAAGTGTATAAGTTATACATAATATACATGTAATTATATTTCAAGTCTCGTTCTTTGGGATTACACATAGGTATATAGTACCGCTACTTCCGCTAGGCTGAGTCACAATATTTAGAGAGTATAGAGTAAAGCTTTCGTACGCGCCTGCGCGTACCCTCACAGCCGTCATATCTTCATAACGTTTCTTGTGCTCGACAGAGACACATCGAAAGAGAGTTTTTTGCCCTTGTCAACAATTTTTCTTGGAAAAATGTTTTCCAATTTCTCTAAAAGATGGGGAAAGGAAAGAAGAGAAGAGAAGACAAGGAGTCAGACGAGAAAATCCTCAAAAAATTGAGGAGGTTAGAAAAGAAAATTAAACGAAAACAGTCTGTCGACGTGTGCGATTCAGGTAAATCTGTTTTTTTTCTTTGATATTATTATTCCTTGAGGTATTGGCTTCGTGTTCTCGCAATGAATGAGACACGTTTGCGCTTTATGGCTGGTGACTTTTGCACGAAGGAGGTAATAACAACCAGTGCTTTACTTGAATCTATGTCTGTTTTCAGACGATTCAGCCCTCAAGTCGAATAATGAAAATCGTCCAAATAACATACAGGTCGATAACCTCTCTGTACATGACGCATCCAATGACGATTTAAAAAGCATTCTTGCGTCTAAGGACGACGATGCTAATGGACAAGTATCGTGTGATCAGTCCAAATCAACGGCTCAGGCCCCAGACACTGAAAGTGAGGTTATGGAAGTAATTTCGACACTTTCGGGAAAGACGTCAGATGAGGTTAACAATACGGTCGTGGAGACAAAACAGTTGGATGAAGAGACTAAAAAAGTTCTTGGGGAAGACCCAGAAAGTGGAAAACAGAAAGACATTGATCTTCATCCAGATTTGGTGTCCAGATGGTCAAAATGGGTGAAAGAAGGTTTGGCCAAAGAAACAAAAACGGAGGTTCTGGCCAAATATTCCAGAAAAGGAAATCTTTCTTTGGAGGCTCTTGCCTTAAACGCAGAAATTGCAGCTACGTTGAACGAAGCTGGCACTAAACGAGATAATCTGTTTATTCAGGAACAAAATTTTGCCGGGACAGCACTCGCAGCCTTGGGAGAAGCAATTACGATGATTCTGAAGGATGAGGAGGAACCTATTGGATAGGATGAAGTTATTGGAGCGACTAGCTGACACTGGGAAGTTGTTAACTCAACTTCATTTCCAAATTTCATCATCCAGGAAAGCTTTTATTACTCCCGTGTTGACTAAACAAGTCAAGGATTTGCTTCAAAAAACCACCCCGGATGATTTTCTCTACGGAGATAAACTAGGAGAAGTAATTAAGTCAGCAAAATCTGTGGAAAAACTCGGAAAAGAAATTAAAGTCCAGAAGGCCCCTGTATCTTCAACTGTCTCCAAAAAACCCAATTCTAAGTACACAACTACACAGGACTTACTTTAAACTGGAGAAGCCCTTACTCGAGACCAGGAACGTCGAACCAGGGCTACAGGACGTCACAGACGTCTTCGAAGTTCTCGAAGAATTAACAGTACAACAAACCAAAACAGGCTGTTCAAGCCAAGACTCAATCCACCCAGCAAGAAAAACAACAATAGTTGAAGACGTAAGATATACTGCTGGACGTTTAAAAAATTTTTACCAAGCCTGGGCGGCGATTACACGCGACAAATTTGTTCTTGAGTGTATTAAAGAATATAAAATAATCTTTAATCATCCTGTTTATCAAAGCAGAGTTTTCACTGGTAATAATTTTTCTAAAGAGGAAGAAAAAGACTTAGAGGAGGCAATTTTTAAATTAAAAGCTAGTGGGGCTGTAAAAGAATGTAAACCAATTCAAGGTCAATTTATTTCACCACATTTTTTAGTTCCAAAACCCAATGGTTCAAAACGTTTTATTTTAAACTTAAAAAATTTAAACAAATTTATTAAAACGTCTCATTTTAAACTTGAAGACTTAAGAACAGCAACAAAGCTTATCTCAAAAAATTCGTTTATGTGTACGTTAGATCTGAGAGACGCTTATTTTTTAGTAAATATTGATAAAAATAGCAAAAAATGTTTACGCTTTATTTTCAAAGGTACACTTTACGAGTTCACGTGCCTCCCTTTTGGTTTATGTACCAGTCCATTAGTTTTTACCAAAGTAATGAAACCCGTGGATAATATATTAAGAGAACAGGGTTTAATTTCAACAAGGTATCTAGACGATATTATTTGTATAGGATCAACTTACGAATCTTGCGTGAAAAACGTAACAATCACTAAAAGAATGCTCGAATTTTTGGATTTTTTGATCAATAAAGAAAAGAGTATGAATATTCCGGAGACACAATGTAAATTTTTAGGATTTATTATTAATTCGAGTCAAATGACCTTAGAGTTAACTCAAGAAAAAAGGAAAAAATTAATAAGTCTAATAGAAATTTTTTTACATAAGAAGTCTTGTAAAATACGCGATTTTGCGAGATTAATAGGATTATTGATAGCTGCTTGCCCAGCGGTTCCTTATGGTTTACTCTATACTAAGGTATTAGAAAGAGAAAAATTTATGGCTTTAATTGTGCAAGATCAAGATTTTGAAAAAACCATGTCGATATCAAATAGCTCATATTTAGACTTGAATTGGTGGAAGAAGAATATCCCTACTGCAAAACAACCGATAAGGCATTTTAAATTCGAAAAGGAAATTTTTTCAGACGCCTCTCTTACAGGCTGGGGAGCTAGTTGTAACTATTCTCATACCAATGGTTTTTGGACAGCGTCAGAACAAAAGCTACATATCAACCATCTGGAGTTAATTGCAGCTTTCTACGCTTTAAAATGTTTTGCTTCAAATTGTCGTAAATGTGAGATTTTGCTCAGAGTGGACAATACAACTGCTTTAGCATATATAAATCGAATGGGGGGCATTCAGTATCCTACATTAAATCGTTTAGCTAGAAATATTTGGCAGTGGTGTGAAGAAAGGGAAATCTGGATTGTCGCCTCTTATATACCTTCACAAAAGAATACAGACGTTGATAGGGAATCGAGAAGAACAAACATTGATACAGAATGGAAATTGGCAAATTTTGCATTTAAAAAAATCGTGAACAGATGGGGTTACCCAGAAATTGATTTATTTGCCTCAAGAAGTAACACTAAGATAAATAAATTCTGTTCTTGGAAAAAAGGTCCAGAGGCGTGGACCATTGAGGCGTTTACACTGGACTGGAAAAATTTAGAATTCTATGCCTTTCCGCCCTTTTCTGTAATATTAAAAGTATTACAGAAAATAAGGAATGATAGAGCGTACGGTATTTTAGTCGTATTGGCCTTCCCAGCCTTGGTATCCTGTATTTATATCTATGCTTATGGATAAACCAAAAATTTTTTTACCATCACCTGATCTCTTATTATCTCCCTGCAGGTCCTTGAAACACCCCCTGGCAAGTCATCTTTCCCTGGTTGCGGGAAAATTATGCGGA